TAAGATCCGCGAGCTGGCATTACTGGTATTTACGGACGCTGCTGTTTACTGTATTTACGGACCTCTGTTATTTCCTCCCGGGCCTGAAACGTCGTCCGTTTACGCCAAGTTTACTCTTCCAACGTTACTCTACCAAGTTTCTCACCAACGCAAAGATCCTTAAGACTATAGTATGTAGCCACCCACGGTTCTATCTAGCTAGAGCTGCCCTCTTTTTTCTAAATTACTCACTAAACGACTGCGTGCGTTCAAAACACCCCCAAGCTTGTGGGTTTTTACTCATTTTTATAGCGATATATTAGATTTCGCAATAGGAACCACAAACAGCGCACGACCAACGTCATGATAGGATGTCGATTGGAACCCCTCCGCGTATTGGCCGAGGACGTCGTCTACTTATTTTCCAGGTAAAAATACCGAAAGAGTGATACTCGAAAAATACTCGAAATATTTTCCGTCACTATCATTATCAAACGTATTATATGACGCGTTCATTTGAAAACATGAATAACCGGATCCGGTTGGGACCGGCGATTGCTGGAGATTAGGGTCACGTGCGGTAATTCTTGGCTAAACGCGGGTGTGACCTAAAAACCTGTACGTTGTCGGTAAAGAACCCCCCCCCATCGTTTTCGGCGCGAATGTCTCCTTGGTCGTGTATTCCATCGAAGAGATGACATTCTGGATTTGATTACATACGTCGAACATTCCGGAACGCGGCTAGTCAGATCCGGGATGCATTTTCGTATTCCCCAGCAACGGGAAGACAGGAAGGAGGAAGTGGAGAAGAGTGGAAATAATACTCAAGAATATAATAGTATTATTACCTAGTTATTCTACAATCTACATAATGTATAACTTGCTATCTGACAGCACGGGATTCTACTGCTGCCACTCTTTGACTTTACTCTCACCATTACGTTTTACAGTCGCACCTTGTAGCATCACACTTACCTTCTACCCTCGCACTTACTCTTACCATGTAGCATCCCGCTTACCTTCTACCCTCGCACTTACTGTTACCATGTAGCATAGCACTTACCTTCTACCCTCGCACTTACTGTTACCATGTAGCATCCCGCTTACCTTCTACCCTCGCACTTACTGTTACCATGTAGCATCCCGCTTACCTTCTACCCTCGCACTTACTGTTACCATGTAGCATCCCGCTTACCTTCTACCCTCGCACTTACTGTTACCATGTAGCATAGCACTTACCTTCTACCCTCGCACTTACTGTTACCATGTAGCATAGCACTTACCTTCTACCCTCGCACTTACTGTTACCATGTAGCATCCCGCTTACCTTCTACCCTCGCACTTACTGTTACCATGTAGCATAGCACTTACCTTCTACCCTCGCACTTACTGTTACCATGTAGCATAGCACTAACCCCTATTCTGTACTCTCACACTTACCCTTACTTTCTACCTGCCCAATTACCCTTCCCATGTAACATAGCACTCACCGATACTTTGCACTCTAACACATACCTTACTTACTACCTTCACACTTACCCTTACTCTGTACTCTCACACTTACCCTTAATCTCTACTCTCACTTATTCTGTACTCTCACACTTACCCTTAATCTCTACTCTCACTTATTCTATACTCTCACACTTACCCTTAATCTCTACTCTCACTTATTCTATACTCTCACACTTACCCTTATTCTGTACTCTCACACTTACCCTTATTCTCTACTCTCACTTGTTTTGTACTCTCACACTTACCCTTATTCTGTATAGTCGCACTTGCAGTTACATTTTACCCTCAAGTTTACCCTCGTCGTGTACCCTCTCTCTTACCTCTACATCTATTTTGTTATGCCACGCTTACCTTTGTGTGCAGGCCACGTATTAACGCGCTGTAATTAATATTCCACGCATGTCGTTACGGATAACCGACGCCTTTTGAGCAAGGCTAAACGCGGTATAGCCACAGGCACTTGAAGCGTTTCAATAAAATATAATGCTAAATAAATTACGAAATCTATTTACTACCAAATTCTTAATGTTTCTCTACTCTCTTTCACCTATTATTGCGACAGTTTCCTGTAAATTCCGTCCAAATCCACTGACACGTAAATTTATAGTGTTTTATATGTCTTTTATTTATAAACACTATATTTATGTGTCAGTGTGCAGCGGCAGCCATGGCGGCCGGTAGCGTGTGTTGCACATAGAAGATTTGGACGGAATTTACAGGAAAATGTCGGCAATAATAGGTGAAAGAGAGCATAGAAACATTAAGAATTTGGTAGTAAATAGATTTCGTATTTAGTTAGAATTATATTTTATTGAAACGCTTCAAGTGTGTGTGGGTATAGCACCCCAGCCGTAGACAAGGGTAGACCACCAATTACCATTTTTTTCCCCCTTATAGTAACTCTAACGACACAACCCCTTCTCCTGACGCCTTTCCCTGACAGGCCTATCAACGGGGGCCCTGGTGGCTCCTCTCTTCTCTCTCATCGCTCCTCTTCTCTAAATCCATGCATCTTATATATAATATATCTATCCATCCCACACTATCTATCATATTCTATCTATCTATTCTATTCTTATCTATATCTATTCTTCTATCTACTATCTACATATCTATCTATCTATCTATCTATCTATCATATGCTATATAATCTATCTACACTATCTATCTATGCTATCTATGGCTATTCTATCGTATGCTATCTACATCTATTTATCTATCTATGATCTATTAAATCTATGCTATGCTATCTATCCATAATATGTAATGTTATCTATCTACTCGTGCGTGTGTGTCTCTCTGCTCTCTGTCCGCCTGTAGCTCGCTGTCTCGCATCACTCTCTCCTCACACAAAAACTCACTCGCTCATAGAGAGCAGTCGTTGCTGCTGCTGCTTTCGTTGTCAGTCGGGGGCCAGGTCGCGTTCATTGTCCGTCTACCCACAGGCGCTGCTCCCGACAATCGATATCTTCTTTACCTGTACGACGCACGGCCGGCTGCAATACCTGTGCGTACAGCAGCGCACAAATCCGCAGCACGGACGTTTAAAATACTCCTCGAGAACGCCTTCAGCTTAATAATGACGCGTACGTCGACCTACCTACACACACGCGCGCACGCACATGTACATATATATTCCAATGCCAATTCAAACGCAAGCATTGACGCCCTGTGTGAAATGGCTTGTGCAGGCAAGGCCGCCTGTCAGCCACGGGCTATTCCACCTGACTCATCGCGCAAACGTGGCGCTGGGGGGCGAGCTAGCGACGGCGGTCGGGGGCTGTGTCGATAAAGTGCAGGCATGCGTGAAGACCCACCGCCGGGCGTTCTACGAAATCTACATACAATTATTACACGTGACGTATGGGGCCACACTGAACGCACGTAAGCAGGTTGTGTG